GGATAGGAACTCTTCCCTGACAGGCATCATTCAGTGATTCCATCAGCCAAGTTGGGTTGTACCAGAGCACCAACAGCCGGTCTTAGCGCGTGTCGTGATGTCGGCACCTGAGTAGAATTGCTTTCACCCACAGAGGTTCAGAATTCCAGTGCCGTGGCGATGTATTGACGAATGTCTAGTTGGTACCATGCCGTCTCGTAGGCTTGCTCTTGTTCATTCTCTCTGAGGGAGGATGTTTCAGTTTCCGACTGTAGGCTCCCACTGTCGATATTGTTACCGTGGAGCCTTATCTGGCACGCTACAATAGCGTTGTTGGCCTCATCTGTTCCACTCCGTTGCTGACTGTTACTTTCCACCACTTCGTGGTGCTACGCTCCCAGCTGCCAGAAGATGTGAAACAGATTCAGATTGCCCTTGGTATCTCAGAAAAAGATCGATCCCATATGACGTTCGAAAACGGTAATATTATGAAGGCCAGTTAACTAAGTATCACCGGAACCTCACCGCCGTCCCGAACCCTCACCATTTCTCATCTGGTTTTGGGACCGGGATACGGCGTGTGCTCTGTTTGTTTAAGGGACATCTTTGAAACAAATGCGACTTTTAATCATTGCCTGTGATAACCTTACACTGGTTAGGTGTAATTTTGAAAGGCACTAGGCATGACGTTTTATTAAAATTCACAGAACGAACTTGTTATGGCGGTCCTTTCTGGTTATATTTTAATGTTTAGAACTGAATTCGGATAATCCACTACCACCGCTGAATTCGTTGTTTGATTATGAACGATTCGCCTACTTAAATATTAACTCACCTTAACGCAGTTAACCGTTACATATTTACCACTCTGTCTAGCACTTGGCTTAGATTGTCGCAAGTTGAAATAGAATGGTCATTTGGAAGGATCAACGACGTCGGTCACCAATGCATATCCGGAGTTTCATTATACGTTACTGACTTCTGCAGGATTATTTTTAAGTGCATAGATTCTGACATGACTGTGTGGATATTCGCGTAAAAGTTGTAGTTGGGCTGCCTGCCTATTAGGTTAAGGTTACTGAGAAATTGATTTCGCATTCAATTCCTGCTTTAGCCTGATATTTGTGCTTCAGATTTTCTGAACAATCGTTCTATGTTTAGACTGCATCTTTCGACAAGCCGCGATGTCCTTCCTTCTCTTGGGGTTCTTGAGGTAGTCCGGGATAGTGAAACCCGCCCTTTTTTACGGTGAAAACATGAACGATTATCATGGGCGACTGCTAATTTTCATGACCTATATGAAAATGCAACCCATGGGATCTATATTTTTATGATATGCGATTACTTTGAACTGTTACCAATTTCCATGACCAGAGCTGCTTTGATATCTTGGAGTGGCCCCGTAATTGCGTGTAATGTGGTCTGGTATAATTATGGATATGAATTATGAATAATACGCGAAATAAGCATTCATAACTCTCGAAACAGTTCAGGTTTATGATGCGGCGCTCCTGCCCTAATATAACATCAAATTTTAGTTTTGATTTTCACGAATTGGTAGCATAACAATGGGTATAAAGGATTTGACAAAGGTGATATGTGACAACGCTCCAAATTCTGTCAGCGAACATGATCTGAAGTATTACTTTGGTAGGTTTTTGATTGATGAAATCGCAGCGGTTCATCTAGTTTTTTTCGTATTTGACTGTTTAGGGCGGAAAGTGGCAATCGATGCGTCGATGAGCATTTATCAATTTTTGATCGCTGTGAGACAGGATGGATCGCAGCTTTCGAACGACGCAGGTGAAACAACGAGGTATTATTCCTTTAGTAGTTTGTGAAGCCAAATATGTTTGAAATTGATAGTCCTTGCATCAATACCCTTTAAATAACTTCTGCTGGTTTTTGATCTGTTTCTTAGGAGAATAATTTTCACCAGATGTCATATATTCGATTACAATAGTATCGGTTATTGATGCTGACTAGGGTTGATACAGATAACGCAGAACCCCTGCATATGAACGTTCTTACATATATTGCTACTTAATTAGCGTCGCCAGTAAACGTCACTTTTCAGCATATGTAGATCCACTGTGTGCCAAAAAATAAAGATCTGGGAGTGTCTAGTAACACAGAAAGATGCGACCGCAAATGTCTGCATAATTCATGTTTAAAACGCATTATTGGGCTAACAGGAAGCAGTGAACGAGATATGAAGCACTTTTCAAATTCTAAAAAAACATTCGCTTTTAGAACCACATTTAATATTTGATAATTGGCAGGCATAGTTTCAGCATGAGAACGAAGAATGAGGTAAAGCGATTGAAGAATATCATCAGATGACAAATCACACTAAGAGCAATTAAGTGCTTTTCTTGTGCTTGTCATAGTTACTTGGTATGACACTACTCTTTTGAGCAGAGGAAAATGGAACACTGTTTTCTGTAGTTTGGAGAGGCTCCAGTTGAACCATAAACAATGCGTTGCTCATCCGCTTTCCTCTGGTCGAGGGAAGACACCTGTAGCCATGATCTAGCTGGCTGTTGTTTACGTGGATGGATCTCTAGCCGACATTTACATTGGTGGATTGTTACCCGGTTATTCAATATCGCCGTACGTTCGTTGTGTCGTTGTGGCCTTCACTACTACCGTTGGAGTTAAGGGTGGTTAGAATGTAGGCCGGTGGCTTACTTTTATCCTTAAAATATTAAATGGCGGTGGCCCATGGCTCGTCTTTTTTATAAAACATCCCTGCATATCCAGTTTGTTGCCACTTAGGTGCCTTATAAACAACAAGCCTTCCACTGAATTAAAAGCTGATCAGCCTACAACTGCGGAGCTTACAACTGTAGGAGCAATCTTCTCGCGCAGTTGTTCTAGCGCCCACTGATAACCTGGTAGGGATAAATGAAAAGGTCACACGAAAATGAAACGAGAACTGTCTGTTCGTAACGGTAAACGTTTCTGTCTGACAGTCTGAAGAACTCTGAGAATATATCTTAACAGTGGTATAGCAGACCTATGGAAAACTTTATCCTCACAGAAGTTGTCTCACTACATTTGAAGCGCTATGAAAAACTGATATCGAGACGATATGAGGCGCTGAATATGATATTGCCTTGGCGTGCTCCGTGAGCGGTTACTAGCTCTGCAGTCTGAGGTGCCAAGTAATTCGACTCTAATTTATAAATATGTAAGGAACCTGCCTTTGACTGTGAACTCACATGTATTTAGTCTGAATGTGAAACAGTGCCTCCATATTTATAGGGAGGCAACATTCGAGCGATGGCAAAGCCATTAAGTCCTTTTCGCTAAGGACGCAAGTCTCTCAGCCTCTTTACATGCAAGCTGGTCGCTGCCTCCAACGAATTACCACTGACTGAGAGTGCCCATATTACGTAAAATCAGCAAATAGAATGATCTTTAGATATTTACCATGCCGCACCACTTGCACTACATCGCATGAATGGTGAATGCATGTGTGGAAAAGTTCCTAAGCACCTTGTTTATAATGCTCTCATTACCTAAGTCAAATTGCACCTTTAAGAATAATTAAGCAAGAGATCACTCAGGGTTAAATGCTCGTGTTTTGAGTGAATAGCTTTCTCGTACATATTTTAGTCTTCATGCTAATTCAGAGGGCAGTAGTATTGTATCGTCATCATAATTATATTTATTAGAGGAGAACTGATAGATATTCTTATCACTTTGTCACCAATTTGTGAAAGTCAGTGGGAAGAATTAGAGTGCGAAATACAATGAAATGTCACATGAAGACAATATTTATGGAAAAGTTATCCATTGAGCTCTTATTCAATAAGCTTGAAAGTTGTAGTTTGACTTACGTAATGTGCGGCACTACAAACAAGCTGCTTACGAACTATGCGCATGCACTACTAATCATTGCTATGCAGTACATCTGGGGCAGCATTTTTAATATCTAGGGATCGTTCTATCTACTGACCTTACCTGGCACGGACACTTTCAATGGGTGATAACTCACTGCTTACGTTGAGCAGATTTTTTATACCCCTGATTATGTATATCCAATTTAATAGCGTATTATCAGTATATACCATTTCGGTCAGTGGCCCGTTTGCTGTTAAACTCCCAGTGCTATGGCCGGTTCTAAATTCGGCTAAATACGACGAATTGGCATTGCTTCACGTTGCCACTCTAAATTTTGGATGGCATACTTGGCAGTTGAGTTATCAGTTCGAGTTTATAATTCTAGAACATTCGCAAAGAATTAGACACCAGCTGTATATCATCGCGTTTGAACTCTTGTATGCTAAGTGACTGTCGTGTAATGGCTACGACAGTTCATGGCTTTGGTGCGCGGTCATGGCTTTGTTTGCTCTCATTTTGCGGTCATTTGTTTGTTATTTAATTTATGCTTGCATTTCTTTTATTTTTACTGGAGTGTAAAATTCTTGATCTTGTTTCAAGCAGTAAGCTGTCAGGTTGAAATGAATAATGTTTCAATTAATTCGTTTCTACGTGGTTCTTATGATTACAGTCATTTGCTGGGAATGTTTTACCGGACAATTCGAATGGTGGAAAATGGAATCAAGCCAATTTATGTATTTGATGGAAAGCCGCCGGAAATGAAAGGCGACGAGGTACTTCTGACTGTAATTTAAGCTCGCTTAATGATCGCGCGCATATTTTGATTATCAGCTTCAAAAACGAACTGATCGAAGAATTGAAGCAAAGACCGAGCTCGACAAAGCAGTGGAAACTGGTATGTATCTTTGAAAAATCTTGCTCTTTACATGTCCCCTTAGGTGACACGGAGACGATAGACAAGCTGAATCGCAGGCTTGTCAAAGTTTCAAAGGAGCAAACTGACGAGTGCAAAAAGCTGTTGCGTCTAATGGGCATTCCGATCATCGAGGTACGGACATAAATGAACGCTGACTCAGTCAGTGCTGCCCTTCGTTTTCTTCTTTGTCAACTTCAGGTGCAATTTCTAAGTTCTAAGAGTTTCTTAGACAATTGTTCCACTTTTCAAAAGTGGTACTCCAGTTGCTTTATCGATTCCATATTCGACCTTTCAAATTACTAGAAGAACTGCGTTACCCCTAAGTGTCAGCTTATACCTGTATACAGTCTATAGATGGATTACACGGTGAAGGGGTTGCTTACCACAAACCAACAGTGCCGTACCATTCTGCAGTTTGGCCTGCTAGGAGCAGCGTTTAGTACTTCAGCTAGCAATGCCTTTAACTCCACAAAGGTTTGCAGTCTGTCTCACCGCATCAAATGGGCGTTCCAATAAGGAGTGAAGTTAACCGCGGTTTTGTTATTTCATTTGCCTATAGAACGATACCAAGTTACGCCAGATTTGCTGTTTTCAAGTAGGTAAAGCTCTGTCTGTTATTTCTGAGATTGCCTCTGCGTCAGCAGGCCCTCAGATACTCCAACGTCGTGATTCATTAATGGAATAATATATATTTAACATAGAAGAGCTATAGAATTTTCAATTAAAGTGTTGTGAAAATTTTTCTGCGCGATTTTCTAGGCACCGGGAGAGGCAGAAGCTCAGTGCGCTGCACTCGTAAACGCAGGCGTAGTTTACGGCGCTGCTACTGAAGATATGGATACTCTAACGTTTGGATCAAATGTGCTTCTGCGTCATATGACGTTTAGCGAAACGAGGTAATGCATTGCTTGTTAATTGCTCGTATGCAGCCAGTTGTGCCCTGTTTCATTAACTTCTGAGACGGCTGAATGAAGTACTTTATCTGTTTGAACTTAACTTTAGCACTTACCCAGTAAATGCTTTAGGTGACTTTTTGGTTTCTTTTTTTCTTAACTGTTGTTCTTTAGACGTTGCTTTCCCCAAGGAGTTCCGCTAAGAGTCGCCTGATTTTTATTTTACAAATCATGCCCATAACAGACAAAACTTTGCATTGCAGTGCTTTGTTGTTCATCGATTGTATTATGTTTTCAGAAAAATGCCAATTAAAGAGTTTCGTTTGGCAGATGTATTGCAAGGAATGAAACTGAATAAGAATGAGGTATTCCTGTTAATCCGCTTTAATTTCCTGTTTCAAGTTCGTAGACCTATGCATATTACTTGGATGTGATTATTGTCCGACAATCAAAGGCATCGGACCGAAGAAAGCTTATGAACTAATCAAAACGTATCACAGCATCGAGGAAATTTTGAAGCATATTGACGCAAAAGTATGAATTTTGTTGTTTGTGAAATCCTTTAGTTTGCATTTAGAAGTACACCATTCCGGACACTTGGAAATTCGAAGTTAGCGCTGTTCCGGAATGTTACCGTTTATGTTCTGCAGTGATATGTTTAGGAAGCGCGGAAACTTTTCTTAGAGCCAGACACTGAAAATGCAGACAAATTCGAGGTCAGCTAGTCGCTAATTTTTTTACTGTTTTCTGTCTAACGGCTGTTTAGATAACTTGGTCTGATCCGGATGAAGAAGGCTTGGTGGAATTTTTGGTCAGAACGAAAAACTTCAAGTATACGCTGTTATAGTATTTTATTTTATAACAGTCGATCTTTCAAATATCTTTTTTGAAAGAAGCAACTGTAAAATAAGTTTCGAACGTTATTTAAGTAGACAGCAGGTGCATAAGTAAATTTGGTGCCTCTGCACGAAAACGTTACTATGTTCTCTGTGAATTACTGTTGTAGCCCCTATTGCACTATTGTTTATTAGAGCCCGTACATTTTGGAAAATCTGTGAACGTGATTCGTGCGTTTGTAAAACTTTTGACAGTAACTTTGTTAAGGTACTTCTCTTTCTTATTACGCTAGTTCAGTCTTCCACAAATCATTGTAATCACCATCATTAGTATTCGCATTCACCAAAGTAAACGATCGCACGATCAGATAAAGTACTATGGAGTGCATTTTTCTTAGCTGTAAAATCCTGTCATGAATCCCAAAACGACCGGTTATCAATTTAATGGTAATTAGGGTTGACGTATTTCGATGTACCTTCGAATCGAATTTTCTAGGGGCGCTGCACTCTGAAGCACTGAAAATCACCGCCTGTGCTAATTCACGAAAAAGGTGTCATGAAATCATTTCATGCTGTCGTATACCTTCTGAGCAAAAAAGTATATTTACGAGTTTTACGAACAAGAATACTTCGATGATATCAGAAGATCAAGAAGAAAGAGCTTCATTCACGTCGGTTTGGTTCAGGGCTGAGGAGATACAATAATAAAACACTGATAATCTCATGCATAATGTCGCCATCCCTGTGAACAGACAATGGTATTTATTATTATTGATATGCGCTGCTACCACCCTGGTTCAGCAGATACCCGTGGACGTTCTGTGACTAAAAAACGTGTCATCGTGATAAACAACAAAATGACAACGTTTGATATACTAATCGATTGTGTGCAGCAGTCAGACTGCATCCAGTAAGCATTATGATCCGTTTACACCTGCCTAGCTAGGTGACAGATGCGATATGCCGGTGGTCTGAGGAAACCGAATGAGGCGTCAGTTTAACATTCGTAGTTTCTCTCCCATGCAGACTAAAAGTTTACAAAAAATGCTTCTTACGAATAAATGCCACGAAAAATAATTGTTTTTTTTTCTAGAAAATGACATCTTATGTTCTTCATCGTGATCTCATTTTGAACCTCCCCCCAGCGATGTTTAGAGCAATAATGCCTGGAGTTGTGCATGCAAAAGTCCTTGCTGTGCAAGTCAGGTATGCGCAGTTAAACTATTACACCACAGTGAGTGTGCTGCTCTGTCAACATATATTATGACCTCATATTATACTAGCTACCAATGCTGTATAATTCTGCCCTGTGCACATAGTATATTTTCATGCGATATGACAGTACAGAACATAGTGATTCAGTACGCAAGACACGTCTGAGTAAGTAGCATTGTGGTATCATTTATGGCTCTGTAACTTATGCCATGACTGGAGTTATCAAGCCCAAAAAAGTTGTAGCGAGTTCCAGATCCGGTTGAGTAAGGCGGATTAACCTTAGGCAGACAATCAGCCATATAAAGAAATTCAAAATCATTATTTGATGATTAGCTAACCCTTATAGTGAATGATGGAACGTTCTCTGCAGGCGACGCTACGCAGCCAGTTTCGGCAACTTTGAGAAACGAACATTGGATGCGAAGGAAAGCGCGACAGATGCAGTCACGGATAACGAGTTTGCTTTACCCAGAACATAATAAACCGAAAAAAGTAATAACAAAATAATTCGTAATAGTATAAATAGCTACTTAGACGTTTGGAACAATGACGGTAATGGCAGTGGTGCTACCAGAATTTCTTCGAAGAAGGTTATTCAGCATCGCTTGCATCCGCAGCAGATCGATATTTTGACTATATCGTGCACTTATTTTTTGTGCTGACATAACTGCTTGAGTGTTCATGCTATATCACTCTATCTTACCCATTGTAGGACGTATAGTAGATACATATGGCATAGCTTAAGGTTCATTCATTTTCTTATACATTTTCTTTTGGGCTGCATGAGCAACAGTAGCGTCAGGAGTTTTTTCAAATAGTCCAATCATATGCTTCAACCATTCAGCACTTGGACGTTGCGTTCTAAATCTTGCCGACTGTAGAAACTGCTATGTCATTAACGCACACGCAGCACAGCCGCAAGGTCTGTATTTTTATGCTCTTTACCGATGTTTCACAGGCGGCATATCAATGTGTCGATATTCCCTAAATGATGCTCATATTGTAGTAGGATTTTTTATAAAGGTACATAGTAAACACTCATACTATGCTCACTGTAAATCAGTATGCCAATCTAAATTGCACCCTTACGTTATAAACTGACTTGCATACTTCATGTTGCACAATTGCCATATATATTGTTGCTATACATTGTTTTACGGTTACTTTAACGGTTCGTAAAAGTGGATTAGGAGTGAGCAGATACACCATATTGCCTAATGTTTCTTACATGCATTCGGTGATAGACGTGGAGACAAGTTAACTTCGGAAAAATAGAAATCTATTAACTTCGGCTGGCATTCGAAAGGGCGAATTTCAGTAATAGTTGCCTTTTGATATTCTCTACTGACTGACCTACTAAACCAAGATTATTTTCATTAAATCATTTTGATTCAGAGTTCAGGAAAGGTTTATTGAGAGCTTTTGATATCTTACATCGTTAGTAGTTTTCATGTATTTCTTGTTTCAGTGAGGTTCGAGTACGAAACGGGGCTGCAAAGTTGATGAAAGCACGACATACCGCAACTCAAGGGCGCATCGACAATTTCTTTACCGTGGTACCTGCAACGAATAAGCGCAAGGTGAGAATTTTAAAATAATTTGTGAAATCAAGCTAATGCTGAAAGTTGTTTTCGCCCCAATGTAGTGAATCTAGTGTCCGCTGCTAGGTTTTGATTCTACTACAGTAATTGTTTAAAAGAATTCCTGTTCAGTAACATTTATAGTGATTTTTGGGAAGTTTTTGCAATGGTAGTGAAATAACTGTGTTCACCGTGACCAGTCAGTATTCGGCTGGCACCGGCCGCAACAGTGTGTTGCATATAAAGTTTTACCACTCGCTGGTAGGGTTGACGATGTCCAGGAAATGTTGTACAGGCGGATTTCCCAACTTCGATGGGAGTTTTCTCCTTGCATGACATTTAACCACAGCACGGCCATAATATGGAGGCGTTCTTCTTCAGAATAGGGGTCGCTTTCGCCTCGTACAGTATCTTTTGGCATAGTGACTTTTTTTTAAAGAACGGGCTTGTCGAGTTCGAATTCAGTCGCGCTATGGTGGTCACACGGCTGCCTCTCTCCGACTGTTTGTTTGTTGCAGCTAACCTCCGTATCTGGTGGTCGTTCCCATTTCTGTCTCCCGGCAACGCTCCAGATGTCCAGCAGCTAGGCACACTGGGAAAAATGAGTTCTTATAAAGGACCTTCGTTGTTCTTGTTTATGTGTATGTGCGGTTCTGCTCTGAAGTACGGCCGTATTGTTTTGCCGATATATTCAACATTCAATTTGACAATTATTTTTTCGCATATTTTCTGTTAGTTGACCCATAAACACCTTTCATTATTCTGCGTTATTATGCTCTGAGTTACTCAAAAATTCAGTATTTTGTTCATGCGTTCGTGATTTTTGAAAATTGAGAAATGTATGAAAACGGTTTATTTTTGCACAAGGCGAGCAAATAAGGTTGTCATTTGGGTAGTAGACCAGACCCAGTATTACTTTTTCTTTCTCTCTTTGTCACGAGCCTTCTTCAGATTGGTCCAGGTTGATTAGCGTTGTTGGTTCAGGAGTCCGCAGTTGTCGTGACACCTGGAGTCAAAGGTGTATGTTTGGTTCATGCTGCCGCTTAAGTTGTTTTTCGGTGATGGGCTTGATAAGGTTTGTCCAATCTGTACAGAGTTCATTTAGGTTGAATTTTCACATGATCGGATGATTAGGGCTTCTCTGAGTCTTGGTTTCCGCTTGTTTTTTTCTTTAATGTCGATGCAACATAACCACTGGAGAGCGTGACATTTCTGTGTTGCACGATCTTCAGGACCTTAGGAAGAGGATAAGACAAGCCTTAATTTCCAATCCTGCAAAGATATTAACCGTTAAGACGGACACGAACTCAGCACCGCTTCGACAAACCTTATCGAGCTCGTTACCGAGAAACTGCTTAACCAGCAGCATGGGCTAAAAGCACACTCGTGACTCCAAGTATCATAACAGTTGCGGACCACAAAACCAACTGCGAAAATCAACAGGGAAAATCTTGAAAACGACTCATGAGAAATGAGCTGAAACGTCGGTACTGGTTAGTCACCGAATTGACCAACTTATTTATTACGTTGAAGTTTTCTGCTTGTAGTCGGTCATGATTCCTTAGCCATCTTGAAAAACTTATCGAAAAGCATGGTTTTTCTCATTCTCCAACTCGTTGCACTCTGCAGATAGCGCAGAAACAGTGGAACAGACGAAGGAGTTCCCATACTTTGGAATGCTGCTTAATTTTGATGGAAAATGGGATTAAGATATTTGACCGATGGATTAGAAAAGCTAGCGACGTTCCGCCTAAACTAGCCCAAACCGTTATTGCTTAAGCGGAGCTGTGTCTGAAGACTACGCTTGCTGCATTCAAGTAGAGCTTCATTCCCGATGCTTACTTACGTTAATGAGTTGTGACTATTCGATCACGGCTACAAGCGGCTGAAGTAGGCTTTCTGAGACGAATTCCTGTGCTCACTCGTCTCACCTTATGTGTAGCTGCTGCTTCTCCAGATTGAGAAGTCGTGACTGCAATCCTTTGTACATCCCTTACGAACACTAGTCAGAATGAAAGGCTAAGGAACTGCTACTTTCTAGGGACTGGTCTAAGAGCCAGGGTGTGGCCATGAATAAATGGACAAGGTTTCGACCGACTCCTGTTAATTTCTGTCAGAGCTGAAACGGATCTTTGGAGACCATGTCTAACTTTTCTGCCTCCGCGACTTGAAAGAATAAGCAATCATCGATACTGACGGATTGACTGAATAGTTGGTTCTCCTCCTCTGGTTTTGTTCCAAAGTACTTACGACCATGGGTAATAACAGGATAGTTTCAATGGTACGTTTCCCTCGGTGGCAAAATTTTCATCTTCCTATATATTGTAAAGCATGCAACTAAAATCATAAATGACAAAGAAAAACTACACGAAATAATTCACGTCGTTTCACGCTGCCAGCGCATTTTTCATGTTGCTGCTGTTCAGTTTTCCCTTAAGACTACCGCCATTAATTGTTGTGTATTTTCACGTTCATATAGAAACATTAGCGAAACTCTTCCTGTTAACCTGAGAAAAAGCGCATACTCCTTTACTATTTCTGCGAGCTATTCTTTCGACGGTGGCGTTTACGGTGACACTGTAGTTTTGTATGCATTTAGTATTGTTACTTCAGTAAATGAAAACAGGATAAATATTCGGATATTCAAATCCATGCCATTGTGTAAACAGATCTTGTCTTTAGCGATTACTGCACTTGTAGCAAGATAAGTAGCATTAGAGCCAGACTGTGACCTAAACGAAGAAAGTGTGTCATTTAAGCTTAAACATATCAGTATGTATTAACCAAATTCTTAAGTTTCGTCTATAAACCATCAAAATGTGGTAAAATTTTGGATTTTGCACCGTTTTAACGCTTTCCAGGTACATGGTGATTCAAAGATCGGTCAGTTTCGCGAAACTAAAAAGAAAGGAAAACAATAAGCATTCGCAAACGTTCATTCAGTGTTACTAAATCTTTTTCTGACTGTAAAATTCATGTAATTTGTCATCATGGTTATGTTAAATCGCCTGATGTGTAATATGTACCACTGTTTGTCAGGGATTGTCACTGGTTAATTATAAATGTCTTGAACTAATGAATATAACATGAATAAAGTCATTCATTTGTATTTGTCGTTCCTCGACACTAAGCCCAGCGCGATTCTGATCATTAGCCCAGCATCTCCGTAAATATTGTCAATATAACTAGTTGCCGAATGCTTTCATGGTGAAAATTTGTATTTCTAGTAATGTCTTTCCGCGAACACAGCAACCGCTTTGATAATATGCTGGTGAATGAACTTTCTTCGAACAGGAAGCTCAGATCTGTTCTGATTCAACCGCTCTTGTTTCATCGAAAACAGAGTTACCTCTTACATCGCTCTTTGATTTCAGTTTACGAGGCAACGGCGGTATTTTTACTCAAGCAAAGGTTGTTGTTGATAAAGATCTGTCGTCAGGTAGTTTAACCTGTGATCTTGTCAGGTAGTCTACATCTGAACATTCTCCCAAAACGGTTCAAGCTCTTCGAGCGTATTTTATATTAGTTACGGTATAAAATATGCACGCATGTTTCTTCAATGTACTGACTACTGTTTTCAAGTTACACCTTGTTATGCATAGGTCATTTCCTTGTCATTTGTTTCACAACTTCTATTGCTGATATCCTGAATTTAAGATAGCAAAATTTGACATGTATATCCTTACCGAAAAATTTTATACTAAGCACATCTGGTCATACTACGAATCAAAGGCTTTGCAATTCGATGGTTTCGATGTTAGTCCGTACCTAGCGCTTAATCTCTGTATTGCCGTCTTTTGAAGTTTGGGCCTTGCTGCAATAGCTGCGATGTCGCCAGCGTAGTTCAAATCTTCTATCCATTGCCCTGATGCTTAGAACATCACTTCGACAGATCTTTATCACAATCAGCTGTCACTCGCGTAGCTTTTGTACTGGTGTAAATATTCGTAATCTTAGCGACTTCGCATTCTGCCATGGTTTCTTAACTGCTCGTGCAGTGTCGCTTTACAGTGCACTAAATTTTTTGTCACATGGGAAGTACGGACTTCGGTACTTACCCACGTGTAGAAAAGCCTACGGTCAATAGCCGTCAGCAGCGAGCTTCAGCATGAAATGTTTGCAAATTTCAGATGAAATTTAGGTGGTCGCCTACCAGCGTAGAAAAAAATGAAAGCCAGTAATTAATGAGCTGTAAGATTCCCTCCTGTGCAATGTCATGAGCGTGATTCATGCACGCTTTTTTCGGTGTGCTTTAGTTGTGGCGATGTTCTCTATTAAGATGCCATCAGCCAGGAGTGTGGAAGTACACAGTCCTTCTATATCTCATAGTAATAAATACTTTTTCATCCAGAAAGATGGATTCGAACTGCAATCCTTCAGTTGTCAACTCGGCATTCTACTAACACCACAGGCGTACGAAGAAATTACTCAGTGCTTGAACCATCATGCTTAAAGAATGCTAAGAAAAGCAGCCGTTCTTTTTACCCGTACGTTTGACCTTATCCACTGCTAGTATCGATCTCAGAGTTTAAGATCGGTGTAAATAGCAGAGGCAGTCAATTCATACTTGAACTGCCTAACATGCTGTCTCAGACTCATATTGTTATCTATCTCATATTCCATCTAGCACACAGGTATACCCTGATTACTCATTCCAAAATTTGTGAAACTTCAAACCTGTCTGCTACGAGTTTTCGTTTCGAAAAAAACTCTCTTGAAGGCAAGAAATTTAAACAACATTACGTCGAACATTCAATCCTGAAAATGATTTAATTTTCCCCTTTAGGACTGTTTTCTCAAACCAGATGGAGAGCCGGTGTCCGCTACCCTTATTTAATCTTCCTATATGTTACTAAGCATGAGCAAATGCGAGGAACACAATTATAGTATCCAACTGTGATAACGCAGCTAGCAATCATATGCGCTTTTAAAGCAGTCCATAAAGTAATGCTACTTTAATTTCGCACAAAGAGTGCAATTATAACAAAGCAACTTTAAGACCATACAATGATCTGAAAACATGAGATTCGGAAGCACGTAAGCACCATAAAAGACAAAAAACGATTAACTGTAAACACAATTGCATAGTGCATAAGCAAAACTATGTTTAAAATGCTAACACAGATAAAAGCAAAAATAAATGGTTAAAACTGACTGACATTCAGTGGAATAGAAACGTTCATATATGAACATCAAAACTTTCGCGTTTTAAAAGTTCATCGCGCAAATATTCGATTCTGTCGTTTGAAGCAACGCGGTCTATACATCCGTTGATATTGTGCTGAGGTTGGGAAAGGTACATTTTGGTGAATGAACGCAAGAAAAGTCGGAAGGCAAACTTTCGGTAGCGCTTGCAGCTGCTTGTGAAAACGAATCTTCCTGTCCGGTTGTCGGCTCATTCAGAAAATCATGTACTCCGAGAACCTCATCAGCGCGAAGAACAGTGTTTGCCTTTGTGGCAATTTCAGCGTTCACTTCCAATGAACGAAAAACACTGTCCTCCGTCGCGCCCTCAATCTGTTCGTTGGACAAACACGGTTGGCTTCGATAGCTTATAGCGGACTTATTTTCAGATAAACTTGTGATCGGCTGCGTATGACGACGAAGGTCGAGTCTTCGATCGCTACCCTTGCATGTCTTTGTTGCGTATCTCCCTTGTCTCCACTTTGATATGATCGTCTCGACGTCGTGCTCCTCGTCTGGGCTGATCGAGTGATCTCTGCTACTGTAGTTTCCAGGAGGCGGTAAACGTTTTCGGTAAACCGTGTCCAACTGCTTTTGCCTCTCAATGCCGTTAATCCGCTCTCCTTGACTGAAGTCACTTTTTCGAATATCGCCGCCGCTACTTTCATAAATAACAAAGGTATCTCTGCTAAAAGTGCTTAGCAAATCTTCACGCTGCCTCACATCGAAAGCTGTTGTCGTCGAAGGCGTCAACTTGCACGAAAAAACAGGTTCTTCCGGGGGTCCGTAACACATGAACGACTTCTTTGGAAAGTTGTTTCTAAGGATGTACGAAATATCGCCTCCGAAAATCTTGCGTTGTTCACCAAAATTCGCCGTCTTCGTCACCGCTTGCTGTGGCTCTGCTTCAGCTGGTGCGGAAATGATCAAAAAAGCTGTTTGGCGCTTCACCGGTTTCACGTACTCACGGTCCGTGAAAGAATAAGTCCACACATCTGCCATCACCTGATCATCGATAGCCAGAGGCGCTTGACTCGACCTTACGAAAAGCGACTGCGATTGTGATGACGAAAAACCGAATATTTTCGGCTTTGGTGGTAATACCGGCTTAGGAGTCCGCGAACTTTTCGCAAAATTAGACGAAAAGTTGTGAGATTCACAAACAGGCAGCCCTGAGGCGCTCGAATCATTATTCGCAACACTGCCGTGAGAATTAACGCTATAAGCGAAGAGCGCTTTACCCGCTGATTCGTCAGGACTAGTCTCGTACACGCTGGAAAATGAATAGTTACAGGGGGCATTCTTATACGCGCCTTGCGAATCGTCATTCGCACCGTACCTCATCTCCTTCGCTCGTTCGCCATCCGACAGATGATAGGAAGCCTCAGACATGTTTTCATCGTCGT